CAGCCAGACTGTAGCAGCAGCTGGAAAACATCAGCATAGGCCATTAGCTTCACTGTGCAGTGAGTCCCCCTGGGCAGTGTTAGAGGCAGGGTTCTGGCGAACTGTCACGGTGTGTAGTCACAGCATCGAGGTAGGAACCACATTTCCACAGTGTCACCTTTGACAGACAACATGACACACAATCCTGTGGGAAGCAGCAACTAGCAGCACGCTAATGCTGAAGGAGGCCACAGACTCGACTCTACCGGTGACAGAAGTGACCTGTGCATCCGCAAACGTCAGCTGACAGCTCAGACTTGGCTAGCAGCACAGACGCCTCCTCACACGACTTCTTGTGTTGTGTTTGTATCAGTGTGATGAACAGCAGACAATCCCCATGCTGTGGGCTCTGTGTTTCTGTTCTGCTGATGCTTGTCTGTGTGTCTTTGGTCTTTTTATTGTTGTTTGCTGTACCTGCTGCAGCAGAAACTCTGTTCTGTTTGACGCTGTTCACCCTCCTGTGCTCGCAGCTCGATGACCATGATGTCAGAGTACCTGGGGCAGAGTGAGGACGTCAGCGTCCTGCCCCCACCTGAGGTGGAGCCCCCAAGGGAGGAGGACGGACACTGCCCCCTGCCGTTCAGGTGAGAAGCTGCAAACAGGGCTGTTGGTGCTGAATCCTGACAGGTAAAACCGATTTAAACTCATCTGACTGGGTGGAGTTTTATAGGCAGGCTCTTTCTATGCTGGAGAAAGGAAAATGGCAACAAGCATGTGGCTGTTTGGGTCGTCGTGAGGCACCAAAAGTCACCAGCAGACACCGACAATGTAAAAATGCTTTAGACTGAACTGAACAGTGGTGAAAACTGAACTTAGGTAAATTCCTATTAAGCTGAAGTGCAAGTACATCGACATGTAGTTCCTTCGCCCGCTGTGGTACGCCCCTGTTAAATACGTCCTAGAACTTCCTGACTTTGTCACTGGAAGCAGAAGCAGCACTCGGCTGTGTTCTACAGGCGTAGTCAGGTGCAGGTGGAAGCCTCCAACAGCTGCAGGGTGTGGACCAGCCTCACAGCTGGAGTCCAGATGTGGACAGACGAAGTTGTTACAGGAAGACACACATTAGGTCACAAAGTGTAGATGATTCTCTTCCAGACCCACCTCCTCGCAACCAGCCGAGGTAGTCCTGACTGTGTGTGTGTGTGTGTGTGTGTGTGTCGGGGTGTTGTGCAGCAGAGAGGATACACACAGAGGGAAAGCCTCAGTGTCTCTCACTGCTGTTATTCCTGTCACGTACAACACAAGTTGCAGAATGGGAGGCTGTGTGTGTGCGTGCGCGTGCTCATCTGCCTGCAGCATGTGCAGTCCGCTCACGTTTACAGGCAGTACAGCTCAGAGAGGAGGGGGAGTTGTTTGTAGCTGGTTTGCCAGCGACCCAATGTTCAGATGACGCCCACAAGCAGAACAGAGACACAGTGCAGTTTAGTTTGCAGTGAAACATCAGAAACAAGTCTTAAATACTTAAACACCTTTTAAATCCTCATCAGTAAATGTCTGAGTGATGCAGGACAAAGAAGTAGGCGCACACACAGACCCACTAGAGTCTGGAGCACAATATCAATATATACTTATCAAAAGGAATCTGGTTTGACACTGTCTGGTCCAGACCTGATTTGAATGAATACTGGTCAACACAAATACAAATGGCATCATATGTTGACTGGGTACAGGACAGTATTTTATTTATCAAACAGGACGATCCCGTGTTATAACGCACTGTGGGAACTCTCTTTACAAGCCTAGTGGACGAGCCCTGCTGGTGTTGTTTAGTCTTTTTAGACCCGTGAGTGTGAACACCGCCTCTGTCTCTGCTCCACTTTCCCATTAATGGCTCAAAGTGTTTGCATAATTAATCCTTTCATCGTGTGTGTGTGTTTGTCCCAGTAGCCTTGTGGACAATCGCGCCCTTCACACACTCTGAGCTCTTCGTGCTCCAGTGCACCAAACTGAAACCAGTGGCTGATGGGAACGTTTCCTTCATTTCCACTTCACTTCTTCCACATTGACACTGTTCCTTGTACAGACCACTGATAACTGAGCTGCTTTTAATCCTCAGTCATGTGTCCGGTGCTTGTTGGTTATTTTCCTTTTGCATGAACTTCACGTTGATTTGCCTCCTCCTGGCGCAACTCCATTTACATGACCGTCCTCCATGAAATCCAACACCTGGACAACAAGATGGCCGAGGATTGGTTAAAGCAGCCGACCACCTCTGAGGTGTTTGTTAGCAGCTGCATCGGTACGTTGTTGCTGCATCGATCGGCAAAGCAGCAGCGCTGTGCGTCTGTCTGCCCCCATCAGTTGCTCAGTGTTTTCCTCTGAACACAGCAGGACTTTATGAAAGCATGGATGAGGAGACATACAGCAGGTAGAGACATGTGCCACCTGTACAGTCTCGTTTTTTCACACTGTTTATGGCTGGTGGGACAGGTGGAGCGCCAACACCCGTGGGACAGCCAGAAGGATGTCCTGCTCTGAGACACTTGATAAACCCAGGCCTGTTGCCGATGCCCTGTACTGAGCTGTGCCGCTCTCTGCTGCTGCACTGACCCAGTTTTCTGCAGAAACTCGAGTTTGTTTTTGTTCTGAAAGAATCTGATTTGTCCTGCAGGCTGCAGCTGATCGAGGACCTGTCCTATGAAGACGTGAAGAAGTGTTACAGAGGATCGGTAAGTCCAACACAAACATGGAGCAAAACAAGAAGAGCTGGCGACACGTTGATGCTGCTGAGCTCAGAGCACCACAGCTACAGATGCATGTGGTGGATGTACCACCACACACAGCTCTGGCCCAGCAGGAGTCCTTTCACATCTCGGCAGAAGTTTCCAGTGTCTGTCTTGTCTCCATGGGAACACTAACACACAGCGAGCCTGTTGTTGATATCCCGGGTCGCCCGTTACTTTTAACCCACAGATACTTTTGCAAGAGTTGCAGTTTAAAATTTTATTTATTTCCACATCTTTAAAAGAAACACCGAATGATCTTTGCATGTAGATGCTGAGCAGTGTGGGTCTGTGTCGGTGTGTTTATTGTGACAGCAGCTGCCGGTCAGAGCAGCTGGATCACCTCGGTCCGGTTCTGTGGTGAACCTACTGTAACCAAATTGGACTCCTGACCTCAGAAAGTCCAGATTCAAAAAAGTTTCCAGACAGTGTTTGTCTGACCCAGGTGCTGGGCCGGGCCCGAGTAGCCATGAGGTGTTGAGCTGCTGCTGCTGCTGCTTCTGTTGTTTTAGCCTTTGTTGTTTCAGACAGGAACAGGATGCCAGGAAGTCTCCGTCTGGTGAACAGAAGGCGAGGACACACAGGTGTATGAGGGGAGGGGAGGGGGGGATTTACATGATGTAACTTTTGACCCAAATATCAGGAACCAAAACAATACACAGGCACAATATTCCTGGGACCTGTGAGAGAGACGGAGCTGGGAGAAAGACTCGGATCATTTGGTAAATGCACCAATTCAACAAAAAGACAACAGCTCCAAATCCTTCTTCCAGTGCGTACAAGTACAGCAAAGTATCGGTAACCATAGCCGGTGACATACAGTACCTGAGATAAAACTACAAGGACAGATATTATTGATATTTACCTGAACTGGCCCAGGAGCTCAGGGGCCCCCAGGGCCACAGCCTCTGTGTTCACGGCTATTGTTTGAAAGGCAAAATACACACAGTGACCACAAAGCAAAGCAACAAGAGCAGACGCCAAACGGACAAACAGTGACAGCGAAACAGTGAAAACGTCTATAAAACTACTGAGTGGTAGTTTGGGCAGGTGGCTCATATAGGAGCCATGAGGGACCTTGACTTGTCGCGTAATCCGTCCATGAACATTTGAAATAAACTAGTCTAGTTTGTGAGACCACGGCTTCTTTTCAAGACAGACCTGAAACGGGAAGCGTTTACTCCGACAACCTGCCGACAGAAAAGAAAACATGGGATGAAAAAGGGATCTGTGTGGACACGTGGTGAGCTGACTGTGTGTGACCTGTGTTGCCTCCACAGACCGTCAGCAAGTACAACTCTCAGTACCACAAACTGTTCCAGACTGTGCCTAAAGAGGAGATCCTGATGAAAGGTAGGACAGACGTTTCACCTGATCTGTTTGTCACCTGTTGCTGACCCGGTCCAGTTCGTGTGCTCTGTTGTTTCAGGTGAAAGAAAGCTGTTTATTTGTTTCTAGCTTTATGAAGCTGTAATTAACCACTAAATAACACAAAGCTCAGTGCAAGAACAAGTTTTGGGTTGCCAGGTTGCTGCAGAACACGTGGACCAGTGACATACAGATGCAGTACGTTTATTAATAACTGATTAACTTTTATAATTGCAGTTCTGAGAAACTGAGGTTTGTGGTTAATGTCACGTGGAACTGCAGACCTGCTGACTTGTTAGACTGGGTGGAAGTCAGAGTTTCATTTGAATGCTTCAACAGTTTTACCTGTATCAGAGTATGTGGTATTTCTACTTGTACTGAAGGAAAGCATCTGAGTCCTTCTCCCACTGTGCCCCTCTGCAGTGTACTCGTGTGCGTTGTTGAGAGACATCCTGCTGCAGGGACGACTCTACATCTCCAGACACTGGCTGTGTTTCTACGCAAACCTTTTTGGTAAAGACATCAAGGTGAATGCAGGCGCCTCCAGGTGGAAGCCTGGGTCCCCACAGCCCCACGGCCCCACCTCCATCCACAGTAGAACCGGGCTCATGCTCCAGCTCTTTCCAAAGGGGGACACAGCTGTGTGTTGTCGCTGATGCCTGGCTGCCCCTGACTGTCACTCTGTATCTGCAGGTCTGTATTCCAGTGGTGTCAGTTCGGCTGGTGAAGAAGCACAAGACTGCCGGTCTGGTGCCAAACGGTCTGGCTATCACCATGGACACAGGGCAGAAGGTAGCAGACAGGACGAACACACTGAAAAGAGCTGCTCTTTCTGACAGACTTCACTAAAAGGGAAGAGCAGCTCCTGTAGGCCAGCATGTCTTAGGTGGACACACGTCAGGGGCCATAACTGCTCTTTAACTCTTCTGTCAAGATGTTTCACCAGTTCTCCCACTTCACGTCTGAGCCACGTGTCATCACAGTCTGACAGCTGTAGTTTCATAGTAGTTGATGTTTTCAGTCAGGCTCACTGTGCATACACTGACCTGTTGTTTCCTGTGTCTCTACAGTACGTCTTTGTGTCCCTGCTGTCCAGAGACAACGTCTACGACGTCCTCAGGAGGATCTGCACTCACCTGCAGGTCTGTGGATCAGCTGTTTGTGGCGCCGCTCAGACGGCCGGTCACTTCAACAACTTCCTGCTTTATTACTTGGCATTTCACTAGATTCAGGTTCCGCTCTGTATCGTGTCAGCGTTGTGTAGAAGAGAAACAAGTCCCTGTTTTAACCTTGATATGGAGCGTTATTCATATTCCTGTGTTAGAGACTAGTGATCTCCTGTGCAGGCATGTCTGACTCCTCCTCACCCTAAACACTCCTGACCGTAGTGAATGGTGCAGCATTTAATTCTAGTTTTGACCGTTTCCTCCATCGTACAACGTTCAGTGCACGTTGAGGCCTGCATCCGCTGAGTAAAGCACTTTAGATGTTTCACAGCTGCTGTAATATTTTGTTTTAGTATCATGTCCATACTACATTAGTCGGGGGAGCGTCTGGACAGGATTTGCTCCAGCACAGAAGTGTGTGTTCACCTGCAGAATGTCAGCGAACCTGAGACAGAACAACACTCATGCTTTAGCTGACAGTGACTCTGTCGTGACTCAGCGGGTCACACAGCCTGAGCGTGGCGCTGACAGAGTTGTAAGGAAACAAAGCAGGGTGTTTCGTTCTCCTGCCAGGAGCAAACATCTGTATTTAGAGGCAGCGGTTGTTAAACCAAAGGCCTGTTTTGGTCCTGAGCTCCATCCCATGATTCACTTTGATTTGAGGGTGTAGATTAAAACCTGTTGGCGACAACATGACTCAAGGTGATGTCACACCTTGTAACACATCTGGATCCCAGCGTCTCAGCCCACTGTGTTTTCAGGAAGCATGAGTAACCCGTCTACTCGTGCATGGCTCTGAGGCTGGGTCGGGTGAGGCAGGTTAATGATGTTAGTGTGTCAGCCCCAGTCGAGCCCCTTCTCTGAGCATCAGGCGTTTAGCACAGTCAGCAGGTTTTTATCTTAAGATCGAAAGTGTGCACAGGACAACAGAGACAGGATGTCACCTGGATGGCTGTTCATGCCAAGAGCACCTGGCTGCAGGCAAGATAGTGGACTAACGACATCGGCAGGAAAGAGTTGAGATTAGCCAGAAATTAGTTACCATGACCCTAACGGTGACCCAGTCTGGAAAAAGTTTCTGGTGGGTGCACAAGTCTCGGCCGTAGTCCGTCATCTTGTCTGTAGCCAGGTCGGTTATTCCTCCAAGGGCAGGTCTTTACTATTCTCATCTAACTAGAGTCAACACCTGCTGCGGCCTGACTCGCGTAGGAAAACATCACCTGACCTGCCCTCTTGTCTGACGGTTTACAGGTGAACGGGAAGAGCCTGAGTCTGAAGCAGTACCTGGAGGAGCCCAGCTCTCTGTCCATGGTGAGTTCACATCCAACTCTGCTTACACAAGGGAAAGACTCCAGGAGGTCTCGGTCAGTCAGTCTAAGACGAACACGCATGAGAAACAGCACTGGTGAAGACAGAATAACAGAACCAGGGGAAATATTTTTATAATAAAAGAAGCCTGGTAAGAGTCCACTTCAGTAGAGGAAATAACATGTTTTAAAACATGAATACAATAAAAAGTGAAACTCATATGTGGTAGCCAGTCTAAAGCAGCCGGTGCCAAGTTTGTTAACAGCAAATAAATACCAGCTCATTTTTAGGATCCCATCAAAAACCTGACAGTAAAAATAAAGTGTTGACGCGTCTTAACTCGGGGACTTCTATCTGGAAAAATCATTTTTATTAGATTTTCTAATTTAAACAAGTAGAGTCAGGAAATTGATATGTTTTACTGGTTAGTTTGTCCTTTCTCAGCAATAACATGCAACACACTCAGTTTCAGCTTCTCATGTGAGACTCTGCTGCTTTTCTTTGCCAAACTATAAACTGATCTCTGGGCTGGAGATGCTGGACAGACTTCTGACAACTTGGCTTCAAGCTCAGGAGAATTATAACGGACACATTTCAGTGTCATCTGACCTTTTCTAGGCAAAACCGTTTACTGAGAAAGTCAGACTAATTGTCGTGTCTCTGTCAGGACGAGTTTCCTGAGGTGCTGAAGTGGAGGAGGAAGCCGTCGCTCCCAGACGTCTCATCCTCCCTCCCAGACTTGCTGGGAAACTCCTCGCCAAGCCTCACCGCTGACGCACCTTTTAGCACGCATGTGCTCACCGGTAGGCCCGGCCACCTGTCAATCAGCTGTCACAGGAACTCAGAGTTACACACAGAGCGATAAGAGACGTTGTTGTTGTTGTTGTTGTGGTGCAGACAGTCATCTGGAGACCGAGAAGATCCTGTTGACAGAACCAGTACCCGACCTGGATCATATGGAGTACCAGCTACTGAAACTCTTCATCCTGCTGTGAGTCGCATTACTTCAATGATACACAAATGATACCCAGCAGGATGTAAAGTACTTCACAGTATAATTATATAAGGTAGTTACCATCAGCTCCACCTTTACCAGCTGCAGCATTAAAGTGGTGGACACAGTAATTAGTCACTATGATCCAGTATCAGAGACATTACTGGGACATGGACTGTTCTGCTGGACGAGTACTGGTACTGATGGTACTTTGACACTGATACTGTTGTGCTTTAAGAAAGATTTTGAATGCAGGACTTTGTGTCTGTAGTATAAAAATCTCCCAAACCAGTTTCTCCTCTCAAAACTAAACAAGTAGAATGTTCGCTGAGAAAACGTCCTCAGAGCAGACGCACATGAGCCAGAAGCCGCAGCAAACAAACAGTGTCTGTATCAGTGCGAGTTCATCTCAGTCTGAAGTGTGTTCAGTCGTGTATTTAGCAGTTTTGTCTCCAGATACTTGACTGTTCCCTGTGCTGCCTCCTGCTGCTCACACAGAATCAGTACTTCTACTTTTGCTACTTCAAGTGTATTTTCATGTCAATACTTTTACACTGTAGTATTAGTACATTTCCTGAAGTAAATCAACTTCATCTACCACTGTTTTTAAGCTGTTAGTTTATAGTCTGGGGGTAAAATACTCTTCAAAGTCTTGACATCCGCTCGTCACACAAACAATTTGATGCTATGTCTTCTGTGTCTTAAGCGATGATGTCAAGATGTAATATGAAAACATTCGTTGTGTGGATTTTTTTCCTGCTGCACAATGAATCAGAGTGTGATCGTAGCTGTGGAGTGTCTGTTGATCAGGGTGTGACCTCAGTGTGTCTGCCTGTGTGTCAGTGTCTTCCTGCTGGTCGTGTCGTCCTGCTATCTGGCCTTCAGAGTCTGTCGCCTGGAGCAGCAGCTCAGCTTCCTGAGCAGTCAGCCCGCGCCCAGAGAGAGGTACACACATGTACACCACTCTGGTAGAATACTCACTGATACCACATGTTCACTAGCCGGTAACCAGATGCATCACAGCACAGCCAGAGGCCCCGAGTCCCCAGGCGGCCCTGGGGGCTCTGGCTGTGCATGAAGTGACTGTAAACTGTATTTGTTGGAAAGTCAAACAACTCCAGAGAGACACAACAATATCTAAACACAAAACAACCATGAAAAGACAAAATGTGAAGCCGTTGAGTCTCACAAACATGACATTAAATGCTCAGCATTGATTAGTTCCAAAGGATTACCGTACTCAAACTTATTTGGTTCTAATCCACGACTTGTTTCTTGCTGCCTTTCTTTGATTTTCCAGGTGCGGCGAGGTGCCCTGCTGGCTGGCCAATCACAGAGCAGGAACCTGATGCTGAATCCAATCAGAAGAAGAAATCTGTACTTACATAGACTTGCCATTAGGGGGTGGTGGTAAGAAGACAGAGGACTGTAGCAGCATCAGCAGCAGCTAACATCTGACCCTTGTGGCAACTTGGTTACCATAGCGATGTCACAGTAGTCCCACAAACAGTAGACTGACCTCTGACCTGTGTGTTGGTGAGGAGAGGCTACAGAAATGAAAACATGCTGTAACATAAGTAGAGCTTCCTTGTGGAGCAGACTGGCGCAGCGATATGTGTGCCACCTACTGACCCACTTCAGGCTCCACTAACACACTCTGGCTGTTCAATAATCGGCACCTGTGGCAGCAGGTCCAGGAGGAACGCTCGGTTTTCAGACAGTGACCGAGTCGGGAGGAGCTGCAGCTGCATTCTCTGCTTTTCATTCTCTACTTTAATAGTTCTCCATGTTACTGAACTGACTCTCCAGATCATGTAACCACAACATACACTCAGGTGTCAGTTTGTTAGCAGCACCTGTCTCAGACTATATCAGTGCGATTCAACAGTCCTCCATGATTTGTTCACCTCATTTACATTGATTAGGCCAAATTCCAGCGCAAGCTCTCAGTGGAACACAGTGCAGGTGTGCACAACCTGCAGGCTCCACAGTGACCACACAGGTGAACCAGCACCTTTGTGACATAGACTGAACATCATCACCTTCATGGAGGAGGATTCACTGCAGGACTGTTTGTCTCAGACTGACTTAGTCTGATACAGGGGTTCCTAAAAAACTCAGTGTATGTCTGCTAGACTGACAGGTGTAAATACTACAGTACCCATGAGCCTCGGCCACTGACGCCCCACTGAAACCCTTCACTGCTGAAGCTGTGAACTAACCAGAGACCAAAGTTAAATTGTAGCCTCTGACGTATCGTGTGGAGAACTGAAGGCATGTCTTACTACGGCTGAGTGTTGCTGGCCCAGAGTAAATGTATCACTTCCTGTAAACGCGAACCTCAACCTGTCTGGACATTTGGCATCATTTAGTTTTACACATACATTTCAGCACCAAGCATTGACTCTGCTCATATGAGGTAAAGAGGAGGAGGTGGTCCAACCTTACCAGAGCTTTACTTGTGTCACGTCCATCTCCAGCTGTGTCTGTTAAAGACACTGTGAAGTTAAGGTGAGCTCACTTTATATTTCATGCACTCAATGTTGAGAGGAGAGGGTGGAAGTGGAGCCTGGGAACCAAGTGTACAAGAGAAGTTCCTTGTACACTTGGTACTCTGTGAATAACGATTCCAATTCTGTAGGAAGAGTGGTTAGTGTTTGCATGGTCGCCTGTTTCTCTTTGGACTCGTGGTGTAGTTCTACCTGTAACATTGATAAACGTTTCTGCTCCTGACTTGTCTTTAGTTACTGTGAACATCACACTGCATGATCACAGAAAAAGCATCAAAACACACACAGCACTAGCTGTCTCTAAAAACACCAGACAATATTAGTTTTTTCAAAAATCAACAGTGCTGCAGGTCAGTCTTTAAACATCATGTTCAGTTCCCTCAAAGAGATCCAAGACGGCACTAAAACGTTAAGTGATTTTCTCTTGTCTGCTGTAGATGGACACAGACCTGCAGCACACACCGTTTTCTGCAGACACATACACCTACATAGTGCTGTTCATAAGTTTGGGGTCACCTCCACTTTCCCAGTTTTTAACACATAGCCAGTTTGGGTCCAGTGAAAAACCTTAACTGGTACAAAGTTAAGACGCAAACTGCCAGGGGTGAAACAAGTCACCAACAATAAAACAGTAACCAGGCCTCTTTCAGGATCCAGTAGCAGGTGAACTTACTGCTCCCTCTGAAGCTTCATGTGGAAAAAGGCCATGAACACAGGGAGTCAGAGCTGCTCAGGGTTTCACCCTGTAGCCAGAGG